AAAAAAAAAAAGAAAAAAAAAAAGAAAAAAAAAAAGAAGAAGAAGAAGTGTCTGGTAATAAAATGACGAGCAGAGCGAAAAAAAAGTTAAATTTTGTTTTAAGAAAAGGGCAAGAAAACGCTGTCCCTTGCTGAGTTTCTTTGTCCCCCCCAACAAAAAAAAGACGCTGCCCCTTGGTTGTGTACACAAAACTCGACTCGTCGCCTCGCGCAGAGCTTAGGGAGCAGGCCGCAAATGCCGTCAGATACATTTTCGACTCAATTCTGGACGTGATGGCGGTCAGATGCATTTAGGTCCGGTCGCAAACGCCGACAGATACATTTAGAAATTTAAAATTAAAAGTTCAAGTGTGAGTACTACGCCCTCAGTCGGTGATGAAGAACCTTTTTTCTTAACTCATCTCTGGACGTGGTTGCGGTCACATGCATCCAAGGCGTGCTGCAATTGCCGTCAGATACATCCAGAGCCTGCCGGAATTGCGGTCAGATACATCCAAAAATGTCCCAGTGTGAGTATGCTCTGAGTGGAGAAGCAAACCTCCCAGGTACGTGCAGTAGTGCATGGAAACTACCGTCTTCACCCGAATAGAACGCCCGGTCATTATAGCTGTATTTGGTGCAACTTTCAGTCCAGATACGGCAGTAATTACGGGGCGTTCTATTCGGGTGAAGACGGTAGTACGGCCGTACTCACACTAGGACCTTTTCCACTCAGCTCTGGACGTAATTGCGGTCATATACATCCACGTCAGCCTGTAATTCCGGTCAGATGCATCCAGAAAAGTCCTAACGTAAGTATGCTCTAAGCTGTGATGGTGGTGGCCTGTTCCTTAGGTACCGTAATCGTGTTTTTTTTTTTTTTTCCCTCCTTTTTTTTTYTTTTAATTTTTTGGTACACGGCCGGCGACAACAGCCCCATCTTTTTTTTTTTTTTCAACAGCCCCATCTTTACTACAGTACCTTCTTCACCCGAATAGAACTCCCCGTCATTATAGCTGCATCTGGACTGCAATTGTATCTGGACTGGAAAATTGTACCAAATACACGGCCGGCTATAATGACTGGGCGTTCTATTCGGGTGAAGACGGTAGCTGAGCTGGGGCCGAGTGCTGTTTTGTTTTCCGTTTTTGTTTTTAATTAAATACGAGTAATAATCAAACGAATGACTTGGGCCAACTGAAGTTCCCAGTCGTTGTCTGAAGCGACCGGTCTTTGTCTGAAGTGGCCGGTCGTTAAATGAGATTCCCTCGATAGTTTTCTGAAGCGACCGGTCGCTGCCTAGAGGATTACAGGATTACAAAACCGAGAAAAAAACGTCGGTAGTTGTCTGAAGCGACCGGTCATTAAAAGCGATGCCCTCGATAGTTGTCTGAAGCGACCGGTCGTTTCCGACAGGATTACGGGATTAAAAACGTTTCCCTCGATACTTTTCTGAAACGACCGGTCGTTGCCTAAAGGATTACGGCGAGGTTTGTGAGCGTGACGATCTTGACGTCAACAAAACGTTCAACCTCTGCGGCGGAGGGGAGGGGAGGGGAGGGGAGGGGAGGGGAGGGGGGGGGAGATGGGGGGGAATCAAAATAATAAACTTTAGTGAACATAATAAAATAACAATGACTGATACGACAGTCACAAGGAGCACAACACAAGAGTAGAGTAGAGTAGAGTAGAGTAGAGATAGTGGGTTGGTTCCGTACAGAGTAGAGATAGTGGGTTGGTTCCGTACAGAGTAGAGATAGTGGGTTGGTTCCGTACAGACACTGCAGCGCTTCCATACAGACACTGCGGCGATCCCGTACGGACACTGCAGCGATTCCGTACAGACACTGCAGCGATTCCGTACAGACACTGCAGCGATTCCGTACAGACACTGGAGCGAGTCCGTACACGAGCACCCACACATGAGCGTCTCTGATGAGCATATGCAGGACAAGCAGAGCGGTTGGTGGTGGTTGTTTTTTTTTTTTTTCTTTTTCCTAAAGGATTGGAACGGATTCCAACTCAGTTGAATCGAATCTATATCTGAACAGTTCATGCATGGGTGTAGCCACTGAGCTAAGCTTATATTTTTTCTGTTATCGGTGAGTGAGTGAGAGCGAGAGTCATCGAACGCAACCTGGTCATCTGCACTGTATCACGAATGTTATGGGTATGGGATGGGGACCCGAAATGCCAATATGTTATGGGACTACTATGATAGACTAAGTACGATTGCAACTCGGGTTAACTGCGTGGGCACACCCTCAACATCGTGAAGCAAAACAACAAATAGCGAAAAAGGAAAGTCTCCAGGAGGGAGAGAGAGAGAGAGAGAGAGAGAGAACGAACGAAAGAACGAGAGAGTGAAAGATAGCGAGCGAGCGAGCGAGAGAGAGAGAGAGAGTGAGAGGACGCTTGTGAACGAGAGAGAGAGAGAGAGAGAGAGAGAGAAGCTAGCTTACGTACGCTGTCGCAAACAAGGCAAAGCAGCAACTTTGGCTGCGGCAAACCACTTGTTTCGTGAGAGGTAGACGCTTGGAAAAAGTTTCGTCCGCAGGACGACAACGAACC